CAAAATTACCCCAAATCACCCCCAAATCATCCAAAATCGCCCCAAATCACCCCAAAATCATCCAAATCACCCCAAAATAATATGAAAATCCCACAAAATCACCCCCAAATTATCCCAAATCACCCCCAAATTGTACAAAATCACCCCAAAATCCCACAGAATCACCCTAATCACCCCAAAATCACCCCAAATTCACCCAAAATCACCCCAAATTACCCCTAAATCACATCAAATCCCCCAAATAACCCAAAACCACCCCAAAATCCCACAAAATTACCCCAAATTACCTCCAAATCACCCCAACATCATCCACAATCACCCCGTCACCCCAAAGTCACCTCAAATCCCCCCCCAAAATCACCAAAAATCACCCCAAAATCACAAAAAAATGCCCCCAAATCATCCCAAAACACCCCAAAATCATCCCAAAATCCCACAAAATTTCCTCAAATCACCCCCAAATCATCCAAATCCCCCCAAAATCATATGAAAATCCCACAAAATCACCCCAAAATTATCCCAAATTGTACAAAATCACCCCAAAATCCCACAGAATCACCCTAATCACCCCAAAATCACCCCAAATTCACCCAAAATCACCCCAAATTACCCCTAAATCACATCAAATCCCCCAAATAACCCAAAACCACCCCAAAATCCCACAAAATTACCCCAAATTACCTCCAAATCACCCCAACATCATCCACAATCACCCCGTCACCCCAAAGTCACCTCAAATCCCCCAAATAACCCAAAACCACCCCAAAATCCCACAAAATTACCCCAAATTACCTCCAAATCACCCCAACATCATCCACAATCACCCCGTCACCCCAAAGTCACCTCAGATCTCCCAAATAAACCCAAATCATCTAAAATTGCCTCCAAATCCCCCCAAAATAATCCCAAATCATCCACAATCACCCCAAATTACCTTCAAATCACCCCTGAATCCCCCCAAATTCTCCCCAAATCCCCCCAAAATCTTGTGGGGTTTTTTATTAATTTATTTTTAATTCCTTTTTTTATGGGTTTTTTGTATTAATTTATCTTTTAATTTATTTGGGGGGGGCTTTTTATTAATTTATTTCTAAATTTTTGTATTAATTAATTCTTGTGTGTGTGTGTTTTTTTAAATTAATTTATTTCTCAATTTTCCTTTTTTGTGTGGTTTTTAAATTATTTTTTAAATTTATTTTTTCCCTTTTTAAATTAATTTAATTTTTATTTATTTTGAATATTTTTTGGTGCTTTTTTCAATTTATTTTTTAAAATTTTTTAATTAATTTTTCTGTGTGTTTTTTTAATTAATCCATTTATTAATTTTCCTTTTTTGCGTGGTTTTTAATTAATTTATCTTTTAATTTCTTTTT